TGGTGGAGTGATTTGTCTGATTAATTGCGTTAACGAACAAGATCATAACCTGCTTACATGAGCAACTTCTTGGAGGTAGTTTCTGTGTCTAAGGCAGGGATGTTACAGGCAATAGCAGGTCTGTGATGCGCCTGGACTTCTTGGGCTGCATGTGCGCTACACTGATGAATGAACTGGTGATTTCATCACATTGTGTGATAAGAATGTGTTTGAAGCCCTTGTCTCTGCCAGTGGAAAAAGATAAAATACAACAAGGTACCGAAAGGAACAGAAGGCAAGGGCTCATTCTTGTGTTTGTTCTTCCTATGATAGGAACTGGCTTGACCAAGATACAATACACCAAGGTACCGAAAAGAACAGAAGGCAATTGCTGATTCTTGCGTTTGTTGTTCCTATGATAGGAGCTGGCTTGAAGCCTTTTTCTTGGCGAGTGGAAAAAGATAAGATACACCAAAGATAACGAAAGGAACAGAAGGCCAGAGTTCATTATTGTGTTTGCTCTCCCTCCTTGGTTCTTGGCGCGCGTCCTTTATTTTTGTTTCCTCCACACCGACATCACACATCATTGTTACCACATCAGCCCTGACCAGACGCACGACATAAACCTTTCACTTCGTTCCATCATCTTGCAAGAGAGCAGCTTAGAGGATCACAGTTTCTTGGAAGATCACAACCTCACCGCAGGCAGTCGAAGTGGCCAAAGAGGCTGTTCGCTGCGTGCAGCACTCAGCGATGGAGTTCGTGTGCAATACGCCTTGATGTCTGTCTGCAAGGCCAGCGAATCTGGAGATCGCCGGAGCCACATCACGGCCCTGCAGGCTGCTCTCGTCGGGCATCATTAATGTGTCAGTTTCGAGCCGCCCACCAAGAGCGCCGATCCACAACCTTCAACTGTGAACGGGGCCTTGCGCCCTTCACCAGCTGCAACTGGCTGACGTGAGCAGCTAATCTCTTTCCGCAAAATCTGCAAATCAGCAAAGACGACGGAATAACACAGACTATCACAGACTCATGCATTCAAGATGCTCGTCGTTGGAGGCGTTTGGAACGATCTCGCTCAAGCTGGGCCAGGGCCTTAGCTGCGAGGAGCCGCCATGCTGCCACTGAGTTGAGTTCTGGGCCTTGTGATTTGTGCTTAAACCATTTCTGGACCGTGTGCATCAAGCAAAACTAGTGTTCACAGTGCTTCGCGACAGCTTGCTAGCATTCTCCGAAGCAGACTATCCTTGCTGTCCTTGGCATCGGACTGGCATCGCTTTCTAAGATTCGGAAGTGTCTTCCGTTTCCGAGGGTTCAAATTGCTGTGAGCACCATAGCTCCGGCGACTTCTTCATGCGAAGCAAAGATATGCTTGTCGTTTCCAGCTTAGCTTGAGATTTTAAACTCCTGTTTCTCCCTTCGTATTCGTGGTCGGACATGGCTTAGGCTTTCACAGTGTATCAGAAGGTGTCGCCTTCGCCGTCACATGAACATGCGTTTTGGGACTCAGTCATGCAGTGCGGTCTCCTCTACTTTACCACGAGCCCGGTTGATCGCGGGGTGGAGCATGGCAGCGACCGGAAACAAAGGCACGTCTCAAGGCCGAGCAGGTTTCACACGCCCAGGTCACAGCTTCGATGCCCTGGAGGCTTCCAAGGAAGCAATAGTCGGGACCTTGAACGCGAAGCGCTCTGCGAGCTTTTTGAGAGCTGCTGTGCGGCACCAGCATTCCAAGGAGTATTGTCGCTTTGAGGGCCTAGCGAATCAAGAAGCAGCCGTTGCCTCATGTTAGATGCGAGAGCCTTCGTGGTGCACGTGACCTCGTGCCAGGCATGTCTAGCAACGCTGGTCGCCGCCCGCCTGGCCAACGTCGGGCAGCCCTGCGAAATGCCTGAACGCGTGCACGGTCGCCCGCGCTCCTTTTCCTTCGCTGCGAGGCCGAGCCGAGCGAGGCGCTGAGAGCGGCCAAAGAGGCGCAACCGGCTCTGCCGCAATTTCTGCCGCAAGCGGAACAGACAAGATTTGGATTCGGCGAGGCGCACGATCGTGCCAGGAGGCCTAATGAATCTAGTCCATTCTAGCCCACAGTGTTTTCAGATCGTTGTGAGATGTTTTATCGGTTTCTGTGTTGTCTTGGGTAGGCTTGGCAATCCTCGTGCAGAAGCTGCATCGCTCGCAGCTTGCCTTGGTTCACTGTCAGATCTCGAAGTTCTGCAGCCGTATGCGCACACTGGTACTCGACTCTGAACGGGCGATCTTTTTCGGCGTCATAGTCAGAGTTGTTCAAGCAGTGTGGAATGTTGTAAAGAAACCAGCGATGTCCTCAATGATTCCCTTCTAGGATCTAGCTTGCAGGCGGCGCTTGCGGCAAGACAACCAGATGGGCTTGTCAGAACGCGCGAAACTGTGCAGGTCAATGGTAGCAACTGTGTTGCATGTGTTGCTTTGCCTTGGTGTTGGTGTCGGTGTCGCACAGAGAATCAGTCGATTATGCGGCAGGCACATTCGTGGTCAAGTGGCCCGTCACATTTTGAGATTGTCCGTCACAGGAAACTTGGGTTTGGAATTCAACATAGACACGGTGGCTACGTGCCGCTTGAGCATTACTCGCTTGGAAGCGGCATTATGTGACCAAACCGGCCCAGTCCCAGTCCTGTGATGTAGTAGATTCACCATTTACAGTATCACCAGCAGCTCATGCATAACAGCATGCTCAGCAGGATTCTCATGCAATACACCCTTGTCTCTCTTTATTCGGGAGCTGTTTGGGGTCTTTTTCATCGGTAGGGCTTATCACCAAAGGTAGCTTCCTGGTGCTCGTCAGGGTCATTTCCATGTTTCTCAGTGACGTCATGACTCGCCGCTCGCACCAATCTCAGCGTTTGTGTCAGCAGCCTTCTTATTCTCATCTTTTCATCTGGTCTTCATCCGTACGGCCACGTCAAGATCTAGCAGCGTCTTTCTCGTATTTTGCTTAATCTTCATGGTTGTTTTTCGTGTTTCGCTTTGTGCATACACTCATCCATCCTCGCACCCACACCGCTTAGTGGCTTCGTGGGTTAGTTGCAGACTTGAGCCGTGCTTAATGGCAAACATGAACATACTCTTTGAGAAGATCAACAACTGTAGCGAAAGAGTAAGGAAAAGAGGGGAATCAGCACTTTTCTAAGAGCGAGGAAGCCGGGAGGTGGGCAATGGACATGGCCAGAGTGTAGCAAAGCGACTTTGCACCAACCCGGCGTAGCAAGTCCGAAAGCTTTCGGCGTGGCCAGGCAACAAACGAGGTCTCACATCATGCTGCGAGTGAATTTAGGTCCGGACAATCTCGTCTTAATCGCAGTCTTTTTAGCGTCGGAGAGATTCGGACTTGCGAGTCGCTCAGGAAGCAGTCGCCAGTGCAGGATGCTCAAAGCGGAAAGTTTGAGTGACGCAAAATGGAGCTCGTGGCGTCGAGTCCTTGTCCGAAAGGTCTGCCTGCACATCAAAGCACCAGCAGAGGCTATTCAGGTTGGGGCTGTGCTCAGATGGCACACCGAACTGCACTCCAACAGTCAGAGGATGATCTTTTCGAAAGGCCCTCGACGGTGCCCAGCTTCAGTACAAGAAGCTCAAGGCAAGAAGTAAAACTGGTGACCAGTCTTATTTAGTGCCCACTGCATGTGCAGCGCCACCTTGGCAGGACAAAAAGAGGGAAGGAGCAGTGGTCGGCATGGCCGTCTCCTCAAGCCATACTGCGAGGCGGTTATTGCAATGATACTCCCGACCTACGCGAAATACATCGAAATACTGTCTTCCAATGGAGACGAACTGTCCTGGAAGCTTCTTTCGTTTTGGCTTCACGGCACGGTTCTGATTCTGAAGGGGACGCAGACATGCATGACTGCTGCTCTACAATGTCTCCGACAGCTGCGTCCGTGCGAGTGATGCCATTCTCATTTCCACGGCAGTAGTTTCTTCTTTTTGTTTCTATACGGCAGCTTTGTCGTGGCCAGACATTCCACGGGGCCACGTATTTTGGCCTGGTGGGTGGGTGGGGTGCAGGGCGGCGCGGGGCTGTGGGGAGCTCCGGCTGGAGGCCCAAGTGTTTATGTACAAACAGGCTTGGAAGCAATATACAGGTGAAAGCCGAAGGCGCTTTAGCCGCCGCAACATACTGTGTTGACATGAATTTGATTAGATTTGATTTTATCTATCATATAAAAGTTGTATTATTCTATCTTATGTTGATACTAGTTCGATATGAGATGTAATATGCATATCGAGATCCCAGTTTCGTCAATACTGCAACATATGATACAATTTAGTGTAATGTTACAGAGAAAGACCAGTATTGCTATATGGTTATGTTTTATGAGTACCATATCAGGATCAAGCAGAACCAATATGGCTAATTTCTTCATAAAGAACAAATATTCCTCACGCTTACTGGTTTACATGAACATTTTCGATATTAGTTTATGTATTCTTCTATGGTACAGCATAGTGTATTATACCATACAACTTTACACCAACTGATGCTTCAGTTCTATTCTGTTCGAAAATACTATGTTGCGCTACATTGTTGTCTTATATTGTAACATAATATATATATATATATA